GCAAAATGAATAAACAAAGCCAGAACCGACAATGAGGACAAGACGACTAAACATCTATCCTATTATTGGACCGACATCCAAACCGGTTGTAGATAGCCTATGCTACTGTCTCCCATCGGTTGCATCCAGTAACCAAAAGCTCCGCGCAAGTGGGGCATCGTCGGCAGAGATACCCTGAAGATAAACGTCGACTAGAGGAGGCCGGGGATTTGTCATTCGCAGTAGCGGTGGTGAGGCTATTGCTGCTGGAGCTGGGAACCTTCCCCATATCATGAGTCCGCTGCTTGTTGAGACAATGGCGTGTCTCAAAAGCCTCCATGCTGCCCATGAGCTAGGTATGTCCTCAGTACTTGTGGAGACGGACTCTATGATGATAATGCATGCCATCAGAGGAAAAGACCAAGATCACTCGGCCATTGGAGTCATCAGAGAGCTCGTTTAAAAAAAAATCTCAGTTTGATATTGCTTTTTGCCCAAGAGGCTGTAATAAGGTAGCTAACGTTCTAGCTGCTGACGAAGCGAGTATGGGCCATCCTCAGCCTTTTTGGCCGGATGGGGCACCGGATTTTGTACACGCTTTGATTACAAGCGACATGGCTGGTCGTTCTGGTTAATGGAATGAAGGGCATTCCGACTCAAAAAAGGAAAAGGGGAAAACACGGTGGATTGGGCCTTCCTGATGGAAGTCCTCCAGAAGCTAGGATTTGGGCTCAGGTAGATTGCGTGGGTGGCTGGATGGCTTGCATGCATCTTTCATCCATGAGGGTACGAGGGCAACTAATCAACGAGCGCTTCTTCGGGAGCCTCGTAACGATCAGCGTCACTTCACGCGCTCTCAGCCATTCGCCACGTGTCGCGTTCTGGACGATCCCTCTGGATTTTGTTTTTTTATTTTTTCGCACGCGTTTTCGGCTTTTTAAATGGTTTTTTTTTGGGGTTGACGATTTGGTTTTCCACCGGTCTTCCCTAGCTTTTCGACCAAAAAAAAATTTTGAAAAAAATAATTTTTTTGCACAAAAAAAACGCATTTTTTCGCGAGAGGCACGGTTTTGTTTTTGCGAGAGGCACGGCCGTGCCTCTTGGAAATGGAAAAAAAACGTGCTTTCTGTTTTTTTTCTTTCGCGAAAGGCACGGTTTTGCTTCCGCGAGAGGCACGGTTGTGCTTTCGTGAGAGGCACGGGCATGCCTCTTTCGGAAAGGGAAAAAAAACGTGTTTTCTGTTTTTTTTTTCTTTCGCAAGAGGCACGGTTTTGCTTCCGCGAGAGGCACGGGCGTGCCTCTTTCAGAAAGGGAAAAAACACGTTTTCTATTTTTTTCGCGAAAGGCGTGGTTTTGCTTCCGCGAGAGGCACGGTTGTGCTTTCGTGAGAGGCACGGGCGTGCCTCTTCCGAAAGGGAAAAAACGTGTTTTCTGTTTTTTTTTCTTTCGCGAGAGGCACGGTTGTGATTTCGTCAGAGGCACGGCGTGCCTCTTTCGGAAAGGGAAAAAACCCGTGTTCCCGGTCCGGTTTTTTCGTGAAAAAAAAGTTCGTCAAAACTTATCAACATGGGATCTAGTTTTGAAGATCTCGACGCGAGGAATCCAACGACGAAAGCGGTTGGAGATTTGGACGCACGGTTTAAGAGATAAAACGTTTTGAATAAACGGATCTACGAAAAAAGGGAAAACTCCCAGGTTGCGACAAGTGGCGCACATACAGCGCGCCATTTGTCGCAACCTGAGGAAGTTGGAGTGATCTCCACAAGGAGTACTCATTAATTAGTGATTTCGTGAGGGTTCTTGTTAACGGAGTTTTGGGAGAGCTTATCTACAACAAGAGTGGGTTAGAGCATCTCCAGCCGTGCCCTCAACAGGCCCCCCAAGGCGACTTTTTAGCGCCGGCGGCCAAAAATCGGCCCAGTCACGTCCCATGATCTCATTTAGCTCCGGTTTGGGCCGAATTAACAGCGAACGACCCCGAGCCGAACCCAAGCACACGGGTGTCTCCTGGGGGCGCCGGCAGAAGAGAAAAGGGGCGTGGGGCCGCTCTGTCGGCGAGAGGAGGCCCTTTTCCCGTCGTTTCCTCTTGATTTCTCCCCTCGGCTTCCCTCTCATTCTCCGTTCCTCCCGCCAATCTCCTCCTCCTCCCTTCCAAGTCGGGCGACATGTCGCCGAAGAAGTACGTGTCCCCCCGCGTCGCGACAGATATCACAACCCTCGCCGCCGCCCAGTCAAAGTAGAGGAAGCAATAGGCGCTGCCGTCCAAGCCCCCGGGCATGAGCAATGCCGACTAGAAGGCGGAAGTGCAGCGCCGGGAGGTCGTCACCGCCGATAGGCGCAACAGGGCCAAGAAGGCCCGGGAGAGGGCGGCGCTCGCGGCTGCGGCGGCAGCAGAGCAGGCGCAGCGCTCGACCGAACAAACCGAGGCGGCTCGCGCGGGGATGATGAATCCACCCGGCGGCGATGGCCCGCACGCGACCTGGAGCCAGCAAAGCGTCGGATCTCCAGTCGGCTTCTCGTCGTCGCCACAACCCTGGGGCTGCACTCCATCGTCGGGCTATGCCAATGGTGACGTACACGGCGGGTTCCACCCCAACGTCACCTTCCCCCATGGTCGCCTGGCCCAGCGCACGCCCTCGCCCGCCTTCGCCGGCGTGCAGTACCCTCCATGCACCTACTCGCCGCCGGCCTACGCATCCTCCCCGACGCCACCTCTCCGCCGTGGGGAGCTACTCTTCTCACAAGCCTCCTCATCGCATCTCGGCGACGCCGACGCGATGGAGGCCGGCATGGAAGACATTATCGCAGCCGGCTCGATTATCGCCGCCGCCTCCCCCAGGTTCACTACCCAAGACGACACAATTGATCTCAACGGCGACATGGACGGTGAGCTCGACTACGGAGAGGAAGAGCCGGAGGAGGAGGAAGAGGAGGAGGAGGAGCCGGCGCCTGCTCCGACGAGGAAAGGCAAGAAGAAGAAGAAACGGGCGGCCAGGACCGGCGAGTCGCGCATCAAGTGGGCGTCCAAGGAGGACGAGTGCCTCACCGAAGCGTGGAAAGTCGTCTGCCCTGACCCGATCACCGGCACGAACAAGAGCATCAACACGTATTGGGACCGCATCAAGGCCGAGTTCGACAAGCGCAAACTCGTCGACCCCTACTTCAAAGGTGTCTGCATGCAGCATGGGTCAAAGGCGATGGCGAACCATTGGGGGCTCATCCAAATGGCGTGCAACAAATGGCATGGGATCGTCGAGGAGATCGCGGCTCGTCCGGAGAGCGGCGCCAGCGTCGAGGATCGCGTACAGCACGCCGGCCTCTTCCTATTTCTTTTCGTCGTGTGCGCGCCCATGTGCGCACCCGCCGACTGATGTTCCTCGGCGCAGCTGCTACGCATGTTCGCCATGTTTCGCGATGACAACAGCGACCAAGAGTTCAAGTACCTCCATGTCTTCAAGCGGATCGACAAGTGCGAGAAGTGGGCGGATGTCCGGCGCACCCTCGCCAAGGACAAGGAGACGTACAAGCCGGATGCGTCGACCCCGGGCGCGGCCGACGGGCGCCCGGACGGCAACAAAAAGGGGCCAAGAAGGCGAAACACGCCGAGTCGGCTGCCGCACGTGTGCAAGAGTCCATCGAGCATTGCCTCGCTGACGCCAAGATCCGGGCCGCCCTGCGGAAAGAGAAAACTGAGGCGTGGTGGTCGGCGTTGATGACGAACAACACCATCAAACTCGACTTGCTCCGGACCAACGTCGCCGCGAAGAAGAGGAACACCGACCTGGCTTTCTTGATGGGCGGCGCGGACATGCTCCAGAGCGGAGACGAGAAGCTCAAGGCGTGGTACCTGGCGGAGCGCAACCTCATTCTGAACCAGATACCGGCGACGCCGACGCCAATGCCGCAGCCAAGCCCGAGTGATGATGCCTCTGCAACACCCAGCAGCACAGAAGTCACGCCGACGCCGCCCAGCCCGTGCACGCCGACGCCGACTCCTCAAACGCTAGAGGCCGACACCGCCGTTTGATGCATTCCTTGCGCGTCCTTTCTTTTTGTACGCCGAACTTTTCATTTGATCGCCGAATTGTCGCATGGTGATGATCGCCAAACTGTTGCGCCGATCGCCGGATTATGGTTTTGGAGTGGGAACGGACCATGTTTGAATATGCGGCGCCTTGGGGACGGCACCTGGGGGCGTGGCTGGGGCCTTGATCGCCCCCAGGGTCTAAAAATCGCCGGGTGAGCGTCTGAAAGAGCGCCCGCCTATGCGCTGGGAGGCCGAACGAGTGGAGATGCTCTTAGCAGGGAGATCCCCTTCCCCTGCTCCGGCAGCAGCATTGGGGAAGACCCCAATAGCTACCCAACCATGACTCCGAGCTTGTCAAGTGGTGGGCCGAGAAATTTGAGACACTTTGGACAGGTGTGACACCGGTGGCTTGGAAACTTTGGAAACATCGGAACAGGGTGGCGTTCAACGATGCTTCACCTTCGGCTAGTGTTGTGTGCTCAGCAGGTACAACTAGAGGGACAAAACTGGAGGCACCGTGTTGCATTCTAGGGTACAAGGGTTGCCTCACAGCGAGTTGTCAGCGTGTGAAGACGTGGGCTATAGGAGCCGTGGGTGTAATGTAAAACCTTTCTGGAGCCATCTAGGCGTTGCTTATCTATGATCTTTCTTTCTTTCTTTTTTGCGAGGGATTGCTTATCTATGATCATCCTTGAAAAAACTCCATTCAACACTAACATTGTACAGGAATACCCAAGCTCTCTTCAAGTTTTGCTGCTGAGAAATTCTAGTGTAGCTCAAAATAAGTCGTGAACCCAACTAACCAACTTCCTACAGGATACATGTCCTCTGCTGGTCAAGCATCACATGCCATTCTGGTTCTAAGCAACTTGATCCAAAACCGATGGTGGGGATTCTGACGATAAGAAAACACCAAGACTTTCGGGTGTGTCCAGTTACACAACTAAAAGAAGAACGAGGCCACACCATGATATACTACTAGTATCTACCTTCTCTAGTAATCTGCACAAGCCACCAGTTGCTCATCCTCCCTCAGCTTCTCTGCAGCAGAAAGCAGCAAATCCACCGCTGCAAAATTCCTACTTTCCAGCCTCGCATCATCATCCTTGCGATGCTGCTTCAGCATCTTCTTCTCATACCGCCTCATCCCCGCCTTTGCCCTCTCCACGCTACAACGCGAGCAATACCACTTCCCCTTGGGTATCCAAGTACGCCGAGGTGTTATGCAGTACAGATGATAAGCCTCGTCGCAGCCGTCGCACAGAATGGTCAGGTCGTCATCTCTGTCAGATAGACAAACCCGACAAAGGCATGATGGACAGTACCAGCACGGTTTGTCCCGCTGCATATCGCTAGCAATCTGTTTAGACTTCAGACAGCAAATGTGGTAGTACTTGTATGGACAGTGGCTGTGACCACATACGAGGAATCTCTTGGCATCCTCTTCAGGAGTTCCACATATCTTGCATGAACCACCGGGGTCAATGTTCGACAGTTCCCGACCCTCAGTACTGGAAAGCACAGTTGCTCTTGACTTACCAACAGGTGTCTGTTCTTTGCATTCTGGGGGCATGCACACCTCAAGTCTTTTGCATAGGACACAATTTCCATGCAAGCTATTCGGTTCATAACCTCCTTGAGCTGATTCGTTGCAGGTGGTACTGCTGCAGCCTTTGCAATACCAGCTTCCCGTCGACGTGGATGGTATCGGAGGATCAATGCATGACATGTGACACACTAACTTGCATACGTTACATATGACGGTGCTGACACCTCTCGTCTCTTTGCCACATTGGTCACAGGCACTGCCCTTTTGAACATCAGAAACATCTGTTCGCTCTGGATAGTCCAATGGTTGGCATCCCTGTGAGGTCGAGGGTACTGATGGAGCTGATTCGACCAATTTCTTGGGTTCAGAGCTGCCCAACACAGCTCCCTGTAATAGTGGTAGCATACTGTTGAGCAAAGCGAATAAATCCATCATGGAAACATCAAAGCTAGCAACAGAATAGTCACCTTGAGTTCCTCCTCACAATCACATGATCCTCTTTGTCTTCCAACCTAAAGAATGCGATACCAAATTCAAATGCAAAGGTGCTTAAATGTATGAAAAGATATTCCTTTCTAACTGAAACATAAAGAAGTATAAAGCATTCAAAATATTAAAACTAAGAGAATATAATTAAAACCCAGCGACTAAAACTTGCCTCATTTGTGTAGGAGGCTTCTGTGAGACTTGAAAGATTATTTGCTAGGTCAATGATATCTTGGCCAGCCATTTTAAGATTTTCCCATAACTACACAAATATTTCAACTGTTAATTACCATTCACCACCCCAATTTTTCTTTTTAAATACATGCCATACAAAATAAATTTATAGTCAGTTTAGAAAGCAGTGAGTAGCAGATAGCGCTTAGGGAGACCGAAAGGAACTTACGGCATAGCCTGAAGAGCTTGGATTTAGAGAAAGAACTGGGTATTGAACTCGTAAGAACCCAAAACTGGCTTATGGTGGTTTCAGATTTGGTTGTTTGCAGGAACTTCAATGGGCTTAATTGTAATAGTCTTTTGTGCGAGTTTCTTTCTGCAAAGTTTCCCGGACACTTTTCATGTCCCGATATTTCTGGTAGTTTCTGCATGTATGTATGGAAGTGTACTCCATATTATTGTTTAATATAATATATGTGGTCAAAAAAAAAAGAACCCAAAACTGGCAGGTAGTATGGTAGCTAATCTAGTGTTCAAGTCAGTGCGAACACCGAACTGGATAGAGCGCTGGTGGCACAGCCATTACGTTATTTCCTTTGAGGGATATACAACTTATGATTTGCAAATTTGCATTACTATCATGATCATCTAATTGTTATAATTTTGAGTGATGACCATGGAAAACAAACATTATACATTTTGTTATTCCATGGTGGTGCACACAGAGAACAGTGAACAGTGGTAGACATGTACTCCCTCCATATATGGAGTATATATTAGATCTGTAACTATTCCATTGTATACAGTTTTCCTGCATATATACCATAATGCATACAAGTGCTATTCATAACAGGGGATCAGAACAAACTAGAATATCTCTCTAGAACCTCATAATATATGCTAACGGGATTTTATATATTTGCACATTGTCAAAGTTCGCTGTGAAACACAATACTAAAAGGAATATTGAAAGCTGAAAAGTTGCAAGATTATTACCAGTTTTAAATCATCTTTGAATATTTCAGGTGCACACCCATACTCTCCATTTTTCATTCTAGAGTCAATCACACCAAAATCGAAATACTTAGTCCTTTCCCCATCTTGATGCACAGTTTTGCGAAGAACATTGCATAACAAGGCAAAATCCTCTGATCTCAAAATGTCCACAAGAACGTTCTTGCACTCAGCAATACCCGTATTCCTTGACACTGTTCTGTCAGAATCCATTTCCACTTTGTCCCTGAGCTGATATAGTAAAGAAAAATATTGTGGGCATTTGATAAGACAATGCAATACAACTGGTCCCTAAATAAGAGTGTAATAAGTGTATAACAACAAAATACAACTGCAATTTTCTAGTAATAATTAGTCTTATCACTTACAGATTCAAATTTAGAGCAACTGTGGAGGACATCACGGATGCAACTCTGGATGCCAGCACCCTCCTGTACACCATGCAAATGCATCAGTCCATTCAAAACATATCTCCAGTGACTCCAACAGTCACTTCTTCTAGATAGCATCTCAGATTTGTTTGTGTTACTATATAATATTCCATGAGGGCCCTCCATGAGTGGCTGCATGATAAACCGTTCAAATTAGTACTTAAGAGATTTAAGCCAGAGAAAATAATGATACAAGAGATAACTGTAATGTTACTCCTACAATGGAAATAAGCCTGTCAATGAAAAGATAATGACAAGTCTGCCAGTAATAAATCACTAGGTTAAGCAATCTTGACTATTGACTCTCCATTAGTATCCAAATTTCTACCCTAATGCTCTATAAGAAAATGGCCCAGCTAAAATTGATAATAAGTTCCAGGACAGTGAGTCCCTGCTACACCCATGTAGCTGCTACAATTTGTTACTTGTGAAGAGATTGTACATTTATTCTAGCCCTAGACTTCTTGTAGAGGGGTCAAAATGCATTGCCTCCACCCAAAGACATACATGTCAGTAAAACACTGAATGTAGTCCACTAATCTATTCTCATAATTGATATCCCAATTCCAACACAGTGCAGGAAAAGAATAGAAGCAAACAAGGACTCACCTGAGAACCGGATATAGTATTTGATAACGTGTTGCATGTATTTGATGTTCTGTTAGCTTCATCAAAAGCTTGGGAAGAACTACTATTCTGCACAGCTATAGTGAAATGCTCTTCATCAAATTGTGAACTCATAGAAGAGCAAAGAATGTCACCACTGTCAATACCGGCATGTGGACCTGATGTTCTCACTTTCTTCTTTTCCCTTGATATCATTTGGTCTCTAACCCTCTTAGCGGCATCTTCTGGAATTTTACAGCATCGAGGATGATTTTGCCAGCCAACAAGATGCCACTTTAATCTAGTTACACCATGATAACCCTCTAAGCTGCACCACTTGCACTTCCAATGTCCTTTTTCTCTGTCATAAACCAGTGAATGTTCCCATGCATTGTCCCTTAACCTTGTCGGGTAACTGGAACGCGCCTACAAATTCACACGGGGCATCTCATAAATACAAAATAAATCATGACATGCATGTGCATAGTGAAATCATGCCTTGCCTAACAACATATGATATGAGAACTGCAAACAGAACACACCACTCATATAGTGCTATGATGAATGAGCTGTGCAAAAACTGACAATTCAACAGTACAACAAGATAGCACATCAACAAAGAATATAAATGAAACTGAGGAAGTTGGACACGGAACACTTAAAATAAACTAGGTTTGGAGCGGTTCTTAGTAAAGTTAAATTTGCAAGGAATCAAGGAACAAGGACGCTTCTTTGTGGAACAGGGGTATATGTTAAAACGGATGAGCAATTGAGCATACTGCCCAAAAGGAAGAAGGATCAGAGTTAAACTGCAACTGATTACTTCAAACTTATATTTTCCAGCTCTGCGAGATACAGCAATAGAATATATTCATTCAATCCAAAAGAGGATGTGCAAGCACCAAAGCAAATGTATAAAGTTTCCAACAGTATGCTCACTGAGACAGAACGGTGTGTTCCCAATTTGAGTTGTGATATAAATACATGACAATAGCAATTAGCATCTTGGGTCTAAATTGATATTGAAGTTTACACTTTTCCCTAATGTCATGATAGATGTTTAGCAAATGGCAGGGTTGGTGAAGTCTGTTCAGTAGAACTCTGTCTATTCTGGAGAGAAAACCAGCAACCTGAGGGAGCATCACTAACTGTTAAAGTATCAGATGTTCAATAGTCAACACTGCAGGCCATTTCTTAACAAAATACCAGAGCAAGATCTTTTCAGTTTTGAGGTTGTACAAAAAAAGTGTGGCATAAAAAGAGATTAAGATTACATGGTTCCTGCTAAGAGAAGCCAATAAATATGCATTTTCCAAAAATCTCGCATGTCATACTTTGATTGTCCCGTGTAATGAGTCATGATTGTATTATTAGTAATTACCAATATACTTAATGGATTATATAAATAACCACAACTGGCACAAAACTGACAGAGCTAGCAGAAACTATAAATCATAACCTGAACACTCTTCGACCCATTCCAGTTTCAACCAAACTGACATATAAAATAGCATGTCTTAAATTAATGAACCGATTAATATAGCCACAGGGAATAATATAAGTGAGAACACAGTTATAAAGTTCACCTCGCTCGACAAACCATTTATTGGCAATTGTGGAAGATTGCTAAATGCTGGATCATTGTTCTCCAGTATTACACTGGATTGCACAAGAATTTGTGGCTCTGGAGGAGCTTGCTGCCCAGTCTTTTTCATCCCGGGCCTTCTCTTTATTAGAATATGGTGTTTTGCCTTTGCAAAAACTTCTTTAGGGACACTTGTGCACTTAGGATGACGAAAGACGCCAGCAAGATGATAATGGAGCCTAGATGTTTTGCCATGTCCATCCATACCACAGTACCTACACCTCCAATGCCTTGCAATTTCATCAATGATAACAATATGTTTCCGTAAGTTAAACCTGGTCTTCCGAGGATGTTTCAATATCTACAAATAAGTGTAGAATCAGAGAAGAAAACATTAAAAAAATAGCAACATAGAAACATATATTAAATACCGATTTTATTTAGTAGAAATTTGAAAAATAAGTAAGTGTCGAAATACAGTAGGAAAACAAAAGTAGAATACCCCTTATTTTTCCTGTTAGTTTTGTTTATCATTCGCCTACCTTTTTGGGATTTTAATTTCTGGATAACTCTTACAAAACAAAGCATATGATTACACCATTGTTGCGTCTGAGAAGAGTAGGGAAGGACCCCATATCAAAGTTTAGTAAACTAATCATAGATACAGAGATCTAAGTAGAAGACGCCAAAGGCCACAAGTATCCTATTACACTCAACACCTATCAGAAGAATAGAAAAAGCAAAACAAATATGGGAGTGACTATTTGTAAGAGCATCTCGAGCAGAACCCTTAAAAGCTCGTCATCCTATTAAATTCCGGCCGATATACGGGATTCGGAAAAAAAAAACAGCCTGATCAGATACTGTAAAAACGGCCTGGCCCGTAAAAAATTTACGAGTAGCCTATAAAACTCTGCCGAATCCGCTATATATACCAGAAACCGGCCGGTTTAGGGTTTGCATCCGGCAAATCCCTTTTCCCCTCCGCCGTAATCTAGCACCCTCTGGCGACAAATCAAGATCCCTCCGGCCGTCGTTTGCCGTGCGTACAGCCTCAAAAAACCAGCATCAATGTCATGTGGAGGACGCAGGCGTGGTGGTCTAGGGGGCCGAGGCGGCTCGCCGCTGCAGAAACGGGGCCGTCATGACGACGAGGCCGGGAGCTCCGCCATCCACCCGCCGGTGCAGGAATTGAGCCGCGTGAGGGCGCAAGAGCGCGGCGCCCACTCCTGCAGCGGCGGGAACGGACGTGAAGGAACTTCAACCGCCTGCACGAGCTCCTTTGGCCGGCGACTGAGTGCCTCCGGGCGGCGGAGCGCAAGTTCTTCGAGGCGAAGGAGGCGGTCGCCGCCGGAGAAGAAGGGCCGCCACGCGGTTCGAGGTGGCCTGGGAAGAGTACGTCTCCGCGCAAGCCCTCTCCAGCTCCGCCATGGAGTATCATCTCCATGTCAAGAAGGATGATGATGAGTAGATTAGGTTTTTAATCTAGTATGTTTTCAAGTTTGTCGTACGAACTATGTTTAAATCTGGGGAAGTATGTGGCGGGAACTAGCATGTTTTAATTATGCGGTATGTGTTGAAGGATCTGATCTTTCGTGCCGTCCGCTGTACCACAAATTCGGTTTACAGTATCCCATAAACGAAATTTGTGGTACAGCAGTTTACAGGATCTGCTAAAGATGCTCTAAGTCACCTGAAAACTAAATTTGTCGTAAGTCAACCATCGGACTGAAATCGGGCGTCCTGCCTTCTTTCTTCAACCTCCCGTCTGCTCCTTCCTCTGGCCACCCGATCTAGCG